TTAAAAAAAAAAAGGGTTGAGGATGTTGCTCAGTGAAAGGCTGTTTTCAGTCTCTAGTACTGGAAGGAAGAGGAAGAGACCGGGGCAGGAAGGAGAGAGCGAGAGAGAGACTGAGCTGACAGAAGAGGGAAAGAGCCAAGGTGCGACAAGGAGGAGATGTAAACAGAAGCGGGCAAATGCAGTTTTGAGGAAGAAGGCAAGAGCCAGAGCGGGGCGGAGTCCTGGCCATTTGTGGCGCGACACCGCCATCTGCTGGCCACCTGGAGGGTTGCAGCAAAGCCTTGCGGCACGCCGGTTCTCAGGTCGTCCTTTAGCAGCCCGGACAAGGGGACTTCAGCTCCGACTACCCGGGGCTGGCCTGGCCTCGCCACTCCCGAGCCCCGAATGGGCAGCAGACAAGAGCTTACCTTCCAAGTATTCGTGGCAGTTTGGAGATGGGTAAAGTTTCAGTTTTAGTCATTACCTCATGGTTCGAGCCCCACATTTGTAGGTGTTTTGCCTTTCCTTTTCCTTCTTTTGTTTTGGTACTGGGGATCAGGGCCTTTGCTCTGAGTTACATCCTCAGCTAGTTTTAAAAGTTTTTACTTTTTTTTTTTGTACTGGGAAACTCAGGACCTTGTACTTGCCAGACAGGTGCTTGTGCCACTGAGCTATCTCTCCCGCCCAAAAGCTTGCACGCTTCTGACAGATCGATAAGCCGCTGCAGTGCCCAGGCGGGGCTCCACCTCCAGCTCGGCCTGTGAGGGCCCTGGGACTGCAGTGCCCTCGGCTGCAGGGGCCAGCACGGGTGCACTGGGTGGAGAAGGAGCCGGGCTCGGCAGCCCCACCTTCGCTCTGCTCACCAGGTCCTCCAACGGCTGATTTGCATGTGTCTTTATTTATTTTTTTAAATATTATTATTTTTTCTTTTTGTATTTTGGGGAAGGGTCTGCAGGGTGTTCAGGGTCTCACTACTAGATCAGATTAGTGATCCGGCTGTTTACAGCCTCCCAAGAGCTGGGATTACAGGTGTGCACCACCACGCAGTCTCAGCTATCTGCCCTCTCAGCATGCCCCGGGGGCGGGCCGTCATGGCAGGCCGGGGGATCGAACCCCAGGCCCCTGTGCTTGCTTGCAGGCCCTTTAATCTGGCATGTTTCTTTTAGAAATATTTCATTTTCAGCCTAGCAGAGTGGCATACACCTCTAAGCCCAGTGCCTGGGAGGCTGAGGCAGGATGATCACCATGAATTGGAGGTCAGCTGAGCTACATAGTTTAAGGCCAGACTGAAGGACAGCAAGATCCTGACTCAAAAAAACAAAACAAAAAAATGTTTTCTGTTTTCATTTTGGACTCTTAGATGTGCTCACTGCAGCACATCAGGAAAGCAGAGAAAACCCACAAAGAAAAACAAAAAGTATTTTATACTTTTTCCAGTCGATGATAAACAAACGTTCAGGTGACAGGAAGGCCCAACTCTGGCTCCCAGGGGAGCACCTGCTCAAGGTCAGCGTGCTGTCTCGGTCCCTGTGGTCGCTGAGGCACTCCCTGCGCATGGGCACAGGCTGGCTGGCCTGAGACCTTGGCTCGGCTCCAGTTACAAGGGGGGCCAGCCTAGCCTGCGGCCCTTTTCCTTCTCCTGGAGGCCTCAGCGTTGACCCAGCTGCTGTGGCTAAGCTGCCTCCCTGTGAGAAACCTGGTGTCACTGGATCCCTGGAGGCTGCACCCTGCCTCCCCCCAGTCACACAGTCACTTCTAGGACTCCTCTCTTTATTTCTGTGAGGGAGTCCGGGCTCCTTCCCCTCCAGCCACGCAGTTGGCCTGGCTGCTGACCCTCAGCAGCCCCTCCATCTAGGCCGGGGTGCTCCCGAGGGGCCTTCTGGGCCAGCTCTGCCCTGTGGCTCTCAGTAGAGCTGCTGGGGCCTCCGCCAGCGACGCCAGGCTGCCCGGGAAGGAGCCCTGCCCTGCCTTGCCTCACAGCCAGGCAGGGAGACAGAAACCAGTCCCGGCGCTCGGGGCTCTCACAGGCCCAGGCCCAAGAGGGATCCAGGAAGACTTCCCAGAGGAAAGGCACAGACGAGGGGCTCACAGAGAGGGAGTGGCGAGGGGGCCGGTGGGCGAGGGCATCAGGGCATCTGGCCCGGCACACACAGGGCAGAGCAAGGGTGACTGTGTGACTGGGGGGAGGCAGGGTGCAGCCTCCAGGGATGTCCTGAAGGAGCCAGGGGGCTGGGCCGGGGGCTGCTGACGCCGGGTGGGCTCAGCGTGCTCTGAGAGGGCCTGGGACAGGCAGGACAGGAGCGGCCAGGCAGTGTCCACCGCATCGTCCAGAGTCCCAAGGCCTCACACAGGAGCTGCTGGCTCCGGGGACTGAGCTTCAGAGGCAGCGACCGAGACGCGGAGTCGGTCACCTGGAGTTGCTTCCCCGGCCTGGCCCAGCCAGGAGAGGGCCCGAAAGCCACGCGCAGGCCGAGGCCAGGGAGCAGGAGCCGCGCCCAACAGAAAGCCCTTCTGTGCAAGCGCCGTCCACTGCTTACTGAAAGAGGCTCTGCAGGGCCTAGTGCTGGCCCAGGGGACACACGGGCTGTGCCCACCCGCTCAGTGTCCACCCTCCCTGACCAGCGGTCCCGCACCGTGGGACACAGCGCCTCCTTAAGCAGGGAAGAGCCCCACAGCTGGGGGCGCCACAGGGAGTCAAGGCGGCTCCACCAGTCACAGCTGCGGGCTCCTTGGTGGCCCAAACTCACTGTGCAATTTGATTTTTCAGGCAGCACACAGGCCACTGCCAGCCAGAGGGCTGCCGCCCATGGGAAGCCATGGCGCCTGAAACTGCTCCCTCTGCTGCAGCTCCAAGAGGCCTCGCTCAGGCCCACGGCCCAGGCCCAGGCCCAAGAGGGAGGCATCTCTGGGGGTTTTGAAGAATACCATGTGTGGGATGGGCCCAGGCCCAGGGTGAGGTCCCACCAAGGCTGCCTGGCCTGCCCCACCCGCCCGCCCGCCCGGGCAGGGGGCCTGCGAGGGAGCCTGTACCATGAAGGAAGCAAAGCTAGGCGCCACAAGCCAACAGCCACCTCCACCAAAGCCAGGCTGGCCAAGGGTGACAGCTGCCAGCAGTGGAGAGGAGTCTCCTTGCTGACAGGAGCTGTCCCCAGAGATGGAGCCGCTCCCGGGATCTGTGACACTCCCTCTGCCCCCACCCATGCCCATGGGACCCAGCAAGGGACTGCGGCTCATCCAGAGCCTCCTGCCTGCTCCCAGGGCCCAACAGAGGCCCGTTCTGGGCTCCCACAAACCCTATGTGTGGCTGAACTGTGGCCTGATCCGTCCTACACTTCCGGAAAGGACTGCCACGTTGGCGCTCACCACCCCGCAGAGTCAGGGACAAACGTGAAATTTCTGTCCCAAATGGAACCCCTGAGTTCCTCAGAACTGAGGAGTGAAGAGGACCTAACCAAGCCAGATGCCACCGTCAGGGTGGCGGGCACTGCCACAGGAGCCACCCACTGAGACAGCCACCAGCTGCACCTGCCTGGCAGGAGCTGAGGGCTAGCGAGGACCACTGTGCTCCCCCTGAACAGGGCCATTGCCCTCGTGACCCCAGCACAAGCCCCTTACCTTCCCGCCTCCCGGCTGGTGCTTCAGGTTCTCAGTGGAGCCGATCTTGGACCTGACGTTCTTCAAGTCGGGCATAGGCACAGGGGCAGTCTGCAGGCGGCTCTTGGTGGAGGACGGCGACTTGGGCGGGGTGCGGACCACGGCCACCTTCTTGGGCTCTCGGGTGGGTGGGGTGGGTAGAGACGGGGTGCGCGAGCGGCTGCCTGGGGTCCCAGGGGAGCCGGGACTGCTGTAGCCACTGCGGTCCCCAGACTTTGCAGATTCGCCTGAGGGAGAAGGACGTGAGTGAGCCTGGGGGCTGCCTCAGGCACGGGTGGGAGCGAGCGGCAAAGCAGCGCCTCCTGCCTGCCCTGTCACTGGGGCAGTGACACCCCAGGAAGGTGGCCATGTGGTCACTAGCACCCCAATACCCCATGGCCCCCACAGTCCCGGGACCAAGCGATGGGCCCCAGCTAGCCCTGTTCTCCAGTGCGTCCCTATCCCTCTCTGGAAGCGATGACTGGCAGTCCTGCGCAGCTGCACGGGGAGAGCTCGCTTCCGCACGGCCTTCCCCAGCAAGGGCACCATGGTGCCAGTGCCCAGCTGCTGCCCTGCAGCCACAGCTTCCCGACCTCTCACCCTGCGGAGGGGCCTGCGCTGCCCGCGGGTGCAGGGCTCCCCCGTGTCCGTCCAGCTCCCTGCACACCCATCCCGGAAAGGCTGCTGGAGGGCTCTTTGCCCACAGGCCCAGCCTGCCTCCTCGGCACCCCTGTGCCAACAGGAGGCTGTGCCCACCCCCCATCATGCCTCAGTTCACTGCTCTGCCTGCCTTACGAGCCAGCATTTCTCAAAGTGGGCCCCAAGGACCCCTGAGTCAGAGTCTCCGGAGCTTTCCTAGTCATTTTTTTAGGGAGTGGAGTTGCAAACCTCCAGAACCTTTGAAGAAGCCATGGGACTTACAAAATGCAGATTTCTGCCCTCATCTGACAGAGCGGGCCATGTGGAGTGGGGGTACCAAACTGTTGTTTGCCCTCATGCCTCACCCACCGGTGCCCCAGAGGTCCAGGAAGCCTCTGTGACAAAGCCCTCCCAGCAGATGCCCAACGCAGCCAATCAGAAGCTCCAGCCACAGTGTCCCCGCTTTGGGTCTCCCAGCCTCGGTGTCCTGAGGCGTCGGGCGGGCTCCGCAGCAGTGGGCAGTGGATGTCTGTCCTCTGCTTTCCCTCCTCGTACAGGGATGCAGCAGGGGTCTCCGTGAGAGGGCAAGGTCTGGCTCCAGGGTGGGGATGCGCTTCTGTCAGCTCAGCTCCTTTCTAAGCCACTGAATTTCTGAACCTCGGGCAAGTGCATTATCTTCCCGTGTCCTCATCTAGAGGCAGGACAGAGTCCTCATGCCAGGTTGGAAGATGGCATGAACATGTGGGGTCCACCTGGCACCGTAGGAGCTGCGTCTGGAGGTCACACCTGTGTCCTCAGCCACTTGGTAGGCTCAGACAGGAGCAGGGGAGCCTGTAAGCTCGAGACAGGCCTCAGTACCACAGTGAGACCCCATTTCACACACACACACACACACACAAAAAAGCTGGGGGTGCAGATCAGCAGTAAAATGCTGGTCTAGCATTCATGAGTCCCTAGGTGTGAAAAAAACAAAAACAAAATCCAAACTCCTCTACCTGGTAAATGCCAGTGAGGATTTCTCACTACAACATTGCTTTGGGACAACTCCAACTCCCAGCACCCCAAACAGTTGAGACACATGCTCCCCCACCCCCGCCCAAGCCCTTGTCCCTGAAGCAGATGGCGACCCAACCCTGAGTGGATGCACAAAGGACATGGAGGAAAGAGGCAGAGTGACCCACCTGCGCTCAACTCTAGGGCAGCGCACATGGCCCAGCAGGCCCAGCCCTGCCAGCCCCCCCACCCCCCCGGGACAGCACACACACCACAGGGCCCCAGCCCTGCCAGCCCCTGGGGACAGCACACAGCACAGGTTGGGAAAGCAGCCCCAGGATTACCTCTCTCAGGTTTTGCCCCAGCAGGGGGTGGTTTTCTCTGCACTTGCTTGAAAGCTTAAGAAGAGAAACCCACAGACAGCCTCCTTACAGTCAGGATTAGCTAATCTCCAGCTCAGCACCCTGGCCAGCACAGCAGGGGCAGTGGCAGGCAGCGTGCAAGTGCAGGGAGGGCCAGCCCTGCAGCAGCCTGGGGCACCAAAACCCCCACGAGGCCGACCCTTTGTCGGCTACAGCACAGAGCCAGCAGGCACAAGGTCCAGTGAGAACATCGGGACTAGAACTGCACACACATCAAATCCAAGTTCCATTAGTTCCTCTTTGATCACAAGCATATGAGAACACCAGGTGAGCACACGCTAGGCAAAGCCACAGCACCAGCGACTCCTAGGGGCACGGCATGCCACACTCCTGGGGGGGCTCTGTGGCCACCTCTAGCCAGACCCACAGAGCCAGGAACAGGTGGCCAGGGCACCAGGAGGGGGCCTGTCCCTAACAGCACTGCGGACCTGCAACAGCTGGACAAGCAGGGTCCTCAACACTGACTGAGTTTTACTACTTGTGGGGCCCTGGTGGCCAGGCCCAGTGTGGCGCTGCTCGGCTGAGACCTTCCGAGCTGCCAGGAGTCTCCCAGAGCCCTGGGCAGCGCAGCAGTGCAGGTGGGCTCTGTGTGAGACCACGCGCAGCGCTGGGGCTGCGGCTCCGTGGTTCCAGACAGCAGTGCCCTGTGGCACTCTGGGGGCTGAACACACTGCCCGCAGGGGCTGCCTCCTCGGAGCCCTCGGTCTGGGGTGAGAAATGCTCAGAGAAAGCCCTGGGAGCTGGTTGTACACAACCTCGGTTTCTTTCTTTCTTTTTTTTTTTTTTAAATTTTATTTATTTATGTGTGTGGCCAGCTCAGCCTACCAGGGGGCGGGGCTGGCTGGCATGCAGTGCTGGGGGATTGAACCGCGGTCCCTGTGCTTTGCTAAGCTTGTTCTAGGTAGGTGCTTTAGACCTCTGAGCCATCTCACCAGCCCCAAAACCTCGATTTCTTTATTGACAGAAAGTGAAGATTTGGGGCCGGGGATATAGCTCAGTGGCATAAGTACCTGCCTGGCAAGCACAAGATCCTGAGTTTGATCCCCAGTACCACAAAAAAAAAAAAAAAAAAAAAAAAAAAAAAAAAAAAAAGTGAAGATTTGACACCTCACTCAGAAAACTGCCAAAAGGAAAGCTGGGCATGGTAGTGTACATCTGTCACACCTGTCACTCCAGGGCTTGGGAGGCTGAGGCAGGATCACAAGTTCAAGGCTAGCCTGGGCTGTACAGTAAGACCCTGTCTCAGAAAAGAGAAGGGAAGGGGGGAAAGGGAGAACGAGGAGGGAGGGGAAGGCAAGGGAAGAGGGAAGGGGAGGGAGGGTGAGGAGAAGAGAAGGAAAGGGGAAAGAGGGAATGGGAAAGGGAGGGAGGGGAAGGGAAAAGAAAAGGGCCAAAGGACTAAGAAGGAGGCGAACACCAGTGGTCAGTAAAGTGCAGGCAGCGGTCAGTTGCCAGGCATTGACGTCAGCGGCACCTGGGATTAGGCTCTGCACCTTCCAGGAGCTTCCGGAACTCAAGGGAACACTCTTCTTACCAGTGCCGGGCGGCGTCTTTGGGGCAGCTGGGGTTTTGGCTGGAATCCTGGTGGCGCTCGCAGCACCTTTCTGACCGGAAGGGGCTGCGCCCCGGGGTGCAGCGCTCTTTGTTCCAGTTTTGCCATCAGCCCCCTGTGAACCAAATCAGAGCAACGGAGTTCTTATCTTAGGAACGAAGACCTCTCCGGAGTCAAGGTCCCCCTCATTTGCCAGCTTGACTTAGGGGGTTGGACACAAGGGGAACCGTCCGCCTGCTGGACGTAGAGCATGCCTGCCACCTCCAGGCTGCTGCGCACTGGGGCCCACCGCCTCACCCCTCTGCTACGTGCCCTAACTCCTCTCAGGGTAGCTGTCTGCATTAGTTATCAGCGCTGTACAAACAAGTTTTACCAAGTCAACAGGGCTTGCAGCAGCAATAGCAATTGGGGTTAAAGGATGGGACTACGGGAGGCCACACCACGAGGCACACCCGCTTTTGGGCTCTAAGTATGGATGTATCTGCCGAGAGTGAGCGGCTGGCTTCCCAGGGCTCCACGGAGAGGCTGCAGGCCCTGACCTCCCACCGAGCCTGGGTAAGAGCGCTGAGCATTTTCCAAGCCCCATTCAGGTCTCGGTGACCCTTACGTCCTCGGTAACCCGAGGAGCCCTTGCTGCGTAAGCACTGGAGAAGGGCTGGAGAGGGCTGCATGGCGCAGCAGGCAGCCATTGGCCTGCTTCCCCAGCTCACGACCCGGATGTGCATGAGCTCCAGAGAGCAGCCTGAGCCGGAGCCACACACAAGCCGGCTCGGGAGGGAGCAGGCTGGTGGAACACGCGCTGCAGGCCCGTGGAGGCCAGAGACGGGCGCGGAAAGGGCCCCTCCTCCCGCCCTCCTTCTCCCCTTCCTTCCCTCCCTCCTCCTTCCCTTCTTCCTTCCTTCCTCTTTCCCTCCCTCCCTCTTTCCCTCTTCCTTCCTTCCTTCCTTCCTTCCTTCCTTCCTTCCTTCCTTCCTTCCTTCCTTCCTCCTTCCTTCCCAGTACTTCCTTGCAGTTACTAAGCTATGAAGCCAGGGCCTTCACAATGAGCTCCACTCCCAGCCCTTTGAACATTTTTCTTTTTTCTTTTCTTTTCTTTTTTTTTTTTTGTGGTACCAGGGATTGAACTCAGGACCCTGGACCCTGTGCTTGCCAGGCAAGCATTTATTCTGATGAGCTATCTCCCCAGCACTCATTTTTCTCTTTGGAAACAGGTCTTTCTAAGAGTCACTGAGTTGCCCAGGAAACTTGCAGTCCTCCTGCCTCAGCTTCCCAGTGTGCTGGAATTGGGGGCATGAGGCACCATCCCCAGCTAAGAGCAGCTTCCCAAGGAGAGTCTCCGGCTGTCTCAGGGCCGCCACTTAGAGGAGAAGGCATAGCCTCCTTTCCTTTGTCAGTCAGAACTTCAGTAGACACGCAGCCCTTCTCTGTAAACATGAAGGGTCTCAGGAGCTAAGAAGACACATCTGAGTGAGTGCCACCTGAGCAGCCCAGCTCGTGCCAAAGGCAGTCTCCCCACCTCGCGTTCCACCTCCTTTGCTCCAGAACTGCCAGCGCGGGGTGTGGCAGTAGAGGCATGTTTAGGAGAGGAGGCTTGGGGCACACAGCAGGGCTGCAGGGCTTGATCAAAGGGTCTGAGCTACCAGGAGTGGGGTGTGTGGGGCTAAGGCCAGGCCTGTTTCTCGGGGTTTGAGCACAGGAAGGCTTGGATGTCTTAAACATAAACATAAATCAAGACCAAGTCAGCACAGGGGGAGGGAAAATGAGCTCGAAGAAAGAAAGCAACCAAGCACAACGCTGGCATCAGCGCTGAGGGCGGCACTCACACGCAGCTCGGTCAGGAGCCGCCTGGCCCTTCTGGTGACAGTGCAAGAAGCCCGCGCTCCCTCTTCGCGGGCTCCTCTGTCAGCACAGAGGAGCGCCCCAGTGCAAGGTAGGCAAGCACCGCGCCGCTCGCACCGCCAGAGCTGGTATGTGGAGCGCGTGTGCAGCCCAAGTCAGCACCTCGCAGAACTCTGAAGAGCGCGAAGCGTGGACAGAAGTCTAGCACGTTCCGTCTGCAGCCTGGCTCTCATTGCGCCTCCCACGTTGGAGAACACTGGTGAGGGGTGCTTCAGCTTGGTAAGCAGAGGAGATCAGCAGGTGCAAGAGGCTCAGGTTGACTCTTTTTTTTGCGGGGGGGGGGGATTGAACTCAGGCCCCTGCGCTTGTGTATTCCACTGAGCCATCTTCCCGGCCCCTCAGGTTGACTCTTAAGAACAGCTCCCAATGGGGCACGGGTCAGAGCTGCCCTGGAGCAGGGTACTGGAAGCACGGGGACTAGGAGGGGACACAGGCTGAGGCTGGATCTGGGGTCTCAGGGTGGGAGTCGGGGCCACAGAGCAGGGGCCTGGGCTTCTGTGGTATGTTTCTCATCACCTTCAGATTCTCTGCTCGAGCGGCTGAGACCTTTTCTATGTCCTCCTTGTCAAGAAGGAGATCCCTGGCCAGGGATGTGACACAGCTCAGTAGCACAGTGCCCGCCTAGCATGAGGTCTCGAGTTCAAGATCTGATATAAAAAGAAAAGACGGGATCCTGGATACACCAGAGCGCAGGCCCAGCGTGTGAGCGAGACTGCC